TTTTTTTTTTTTTTTTTTTTTGAGACAGTCTTGCTCTGTCACCCAGGCTGGAGTGCAGTGGCATGATCTTGGCTCACTGCAGCATCTGCCTCCCAGGTTCAAGTGATTCTCTCACCTCAGCTTCCCTAGTAGCTGGGACTACAGGCACATGCCACGATGCCTGGCTAATTTTTGTATTTTCAGTTGAGACAGGGTTTTACCATGTTGCCCAGGCTGGTCTTGAACTCCTGGTGATCTGCCTACCTCGGCCTCCCAGTGTTGGGATTACAGGCATGAGCTGCTGTGCCTAGCCAAAAATCGTAATTTCTGATATTATACACTTAGTAGATGCTTATTAATTTCTTGACTGGCCCACTCACTTCTATATCTATGGACACCATGTGACAAAGCTAACAGGTGTCTCATAATCACAAATGCATGAGAAAGTGCTTACAGAAGATGCGCACTGGAATCACTTAGTCCAAGCCCACGGTTTACTTTAGAATCAAGCAACACTCAATCCTAAGTTTCCAATAGCCTAGAATTCCAAACAGCAAATTCTAGAAGTTACTGAGGCAGAACATCTATCACTTTGAGAAAGCATGACTCTTGCTCTTTTGCAGCACTTTTAAAGAGAAATTGGCACTTATAAAAGGGCAACATGAGGACCCTTATAGTAATGGAAATGTTCTGTGCCTTAACTGTATCAGTGTCAATATCCTGCTTGTAATATTTGTACTATAGTTCTGCAAGATGTCACCATTGGGAGAAACCGGGCAAAGCATATGTAATACCAAGGTTGAGAAAACCTGTGTTACACTAAAGCATAGTTCTGTCTTATAAGTCTTTTTGGTAAATTGAACCTGTAACCACAGCTATGATGCTATCCCAAGAAATAAACACAGACGGTTGCTCTCGACATTGTGATAGGAAAGATGAGAAAATTAGCATATTATGCTTTCTTCCCCATCTTTTGCTAAAATTTTTAGTTGTATTAGTTATATTTTAGTCAGTATTTTTAAAAATTTTCCACTTTAAAAAGATTATAGGCCGGGCACGGTGGCTCATGCCTGTAATCCCAGCACTTTGGGAGGCCGAGGCGGGCAGATCACGAGGTCAAGAGATCGAGACCATCCTGGCCAACATGGTGAAACCCCGTCTCTACTAAAAATACAAAAATTAGCTGGGCGTGATGGCGTGTGCCTGTAGTCCCAGCTACTCAGGAGGCTGAGGCAGGAGAATTGCTTGAACCTGGGAGGCGGAGGTTGCAGTGAGCCGAGATTGTGCCACTGCACTCCAGACTAGCGCCTGGCGACAGAATGAGACTCTGTCTCAAAAAAAAAAAAGATTATATTAAAATTTTAATAACTTTATATTCTGAAATTATAATTATGTTTACATGGTTTTATCATAGGTTGGTTCTAAAATAGAAAACACTAATAATTTTTAAAATATTAATTAAAAAAATAAGTCCCAGGTTTTTATTTGAATTTTTTTTCCTTCAGGAAAGAAAAATATATTAGTCAACTTTCTTTTTTTTTTTGAAATGAAGTCTCACTCTTGTCGCCCAGGCTGCAGTGCAGAGGCGCAATATCGGCTCACTGCAACCTCTGCCTCCCGGATTCAAGCAATTCTCCTGCCTCAGCCTCCCAAATAGCTGGGCTTACAGGTGCCTGTCACCATGTCTGACTAATTTTGGCATTTGTATTAAAGCCTGTCTCAGACTCCCAAATTGCTGGGATTACAGTGTGAGCCACTATGCTCAGCCAAAAACAACATAATTCTTAAAGGAGAAAGTTAAGAGTAAATGTTTCAGAGATGATGACTTAAGTGTACCAAAGATAGCTCATAATTCAATAAGGGTATTGAAAATAACGAGATCAATGCTAAAGGCAGCTGGGCCAGTGGCCCCTCTTCTTGGGAAATTTGGCATTGAGACACACAACTAACAGTTTAAACCTCTTCTGTCCAAGAATAAACAATGTATGTCATGTTTTTAAACGGCAGTGCAGTCTTGCATGGTAAAACCATGGGAGGGATGGTTTAAATGTAACAGGAAGCATTTCACAAGGCAACCACAGGAAAGGCAAAAGCAAATTCAGTCTTTAGATAGGCCCAAACAACTGGAATCCACGTTACAGCTTGCACAGCTAAACCTGGGCCAAGGGACCACTATTTATTTCATTCTGTGCACTGTGAGGAGGTGAAAATATTAACTGTTCTCTGGGAGTGTGGAGTATAGGAAAGACGTTTGGCTGTATTATATTTTTAAACCCTAAATCACACGTGAAAAAATAAGACAAAAAATGAAATTTACTTTGCTTTGAAAACATTCTACTTGTTTTTAAAAGAAAGTATACAATGTGTAGAAACAATGAATACTCTAGAGAGACTGGGCTCTGCCTCCCGCAGGCCACCTGGTCTAGGACTTGTTGCAGTGCCTCTAGGGGCACTTTACTGATAGGAAAAATGCGGAGGTGGCAATGCAAGCTGGCATTCCTGGGGGGCTCTGTTGAGACCACACTGTGTTTCAAAAGTCTTCAATCAGAAGGCCAAGAACTCTCCAGCTCCACACACCTTCTGCCTCCCCCTGACCTGCTACCTCATATAATGTAAATCTCCCTGGCCCCTGTAGACAGGTGGGTCTACAACCCTTGGGGACACAACCTCTCCAGCTGTGTCCAATCCTGCCATCCTATGATCATGCCACTACTGTTAATAACTTTTTCAAAAGTGTTGTTTAGGTCACTATGATATTGAGCTACCAGATAACACAGCAAATTGGAAAACTGAATATCAATCAATCTCTAAAACTATCAACACTGTACCCCATAGGTAGAGTCAAAATACAGAATGTTTAAACTAACATACAAGAGTAATTGTATAATCAATTTTCTTAAAAAACCCAAAACACAGAGCTTATTGACTTCTGCTTTATCAGTAAATCTAATATTAAAAGCAATCTTTTCAATAACTTCTGCACTCTGATTTCTGCAAAGGTGCATACTAGGGTATAATATATGTTTTTGTTCTAAATAACTTTTAAGCAAATTCATGTACTGGAAAATATATTGGTAATATGCTTCTAACACCATGAGAGCAATAACATGAAAATTATCACTGGAATAAGAAAGGTAGAGGATACAATTCTTTGAGATGAAAGGGGAGAGGAGAGGGGTATTTTCCACTGTTATCCTCGCTAATGTCCAATATTCATTTTGTTTGTCAAGTGCATTATTTGGTCCTTCATGTCATACAGACCTTGCTTGGAGTTATCACAACAGAACCACCATGAATACAAATATATATACTAACTTTACGAGTCAGTGGATGGCAGGTGTCTCCCAGTTTGCCCATAGGTGTGCAAATCCTTATGCTCTTAACCCAGATACTGACAGCACAGCACATGCCTCCACCACACTGGGAGTCCTTGTCACAAGCCTGAAATGTAATAAACAAACAGATAAATATAGATAACAGGAAAGACTCAGGCTAAGGAAATCTAAAATTAGCAGTGAAAATGCGCTTTAAATATCCAAACACTTCGACTTTAATGATCAGATATATTTTTTTAAAAATGATAACCTTCATTTGCTTGTGTATATCTATGATAAAATCTGATCAGAATAGATATTTCTCATTTGTCTGAAATTATATTAATTTCTAGCCTCTGGATTATGAAAATCTTAAATAAACAATTTTTAAAAATGAAATCAGCTCTCCTTTTCCAGCATTTTATGGCTGAATTGGCTTTGAACTTGAAGAACAAGACTATATTAGTCTTACACTACACATGGCCATTAGGAACTACATAAATCGAATCACAAGATTTTATGACTATTAACTGCAGAATCCATTGGGCCCAATTTTAAAAAGAGATTTAAATAGTCTCTAAATCTGGCAAGAAACACTCCAGACCCATAAAGGCACTGATGTAAATTTTAGAAGTGCTCATTTTCCCTTTCAAATATTTGCATTTTGGTTCACAAGACTTGACATTTCTCACACTACTGACTTGCTTTTTCACCATTTTCTCTTTAAAGAAATCTCATAGGTTTAGAATGGACAAAGATGCTTGCCTTATATTACTCTTCCTTCAAGTGAATAAGCTGCAAAGAGCAAATGACTGGCTTCAGATAAACATATATATACATTACAAAATCAGCTGAAGGAGCCTGTAAGATCCATCACATTAAGAAATGCAAGCGACAGGTGCAATTGTCAACAGTAATTACTCAAGGCACCTGTTTTCAATATAAAAAGTTGTAAATACATACAAAGAATCAACTATGCAGGAATTTCCATACTCTACTAAATAGAAATAAATAATGTAGTCTAAATTTATTTGCATGAAAATGGATCTGAAGAACTATTATTATTTCCTAGAACCAACAAAAAATATAATGCTTTTGTTTCAACCATGAGCAGTAATCTGTTTTGCTAGTGATACGATAAAAACATCCTGTACTATATATGTAAGAAACTAAAACCTCCATAATTCAGGTACAAATTTAAATGTAAACTTAGTGGAAACAACTAAAACTGTCTTTCAAAGTTCTCAGTTTTGAGGACAGTCAGAACTTCTTACAACATTAAAAATATGGGCACATTCTTAACATTATTTCTCATTAAAAGTAACCAACTACTTTCCTTTAAAGTTCATTTACTTCCCTCATTAGAATTTCTCAGTCTATTTAAAACAAGTATCTGGATAAGAGCTAAAAATTTCACTTTAAGGTATTTGGATTTTATAGGACAATATATAAATGTTTCCATTTTCTAATTTTTATCTGCATGCCAGAAAACATGTATATGTAGCCATTACATTCCATAAATAAGATGTCTAGTCAATGATCTTTTACAATATAGTTTTAACAAATCTATATGGCCATATAAATCAATTTCAAAATACCTAAATACATTACCCAAAAAACTGTGGATGTAAGGTGGAAGTTTTAGCTAGTATTTTATTTCAACAGATGCTCAGTACCCCAGATTTTGAGGCCCCATGAGCTGTTTTTTAATGAGACAATCAAAACTCCAGGCAAAAACTTTCACCTGGATGTTTAACATGCTATACACAATATATCTTGATAAGTTACTGAGGTTTTTCATTTGAATCCAGACGGTTCCTGTCATGAAGACATAACTACATTTTATTGCCCTGTTGCTTTAGAGACAGTTAAAAATTCTTTTTGTAACACTGAGTTAAAATAACAACAACAAAAACAGCACACAAAACTATATAATAATTCCAGTCTAAGCCTCTCTAAGGGATAGACAGCCAATGTGATAAAATTTTATACTGTAACAAAAGATTCAGTTCCTGGAAAATTTACAAAGAGTTGCATAGGTTTATATATTTTTAATTAGACAGCTGTTTCCTAATGCCCTTCATCCTTAACCCATTGCAAATCTATTCAGATACTGTTGTCCTGTGAATGGAACAAAAAGATACTTATATTGCAAGGGGATCTTGGGCTCAGAGGATTAGGAGAAACTTTAAATGAGCCAGCAGGGGAAGAGGGAGAAAAAAATCCAATCATGTTTCCATTCTCATGTATTAGAAAGACCTGTAAAAACTTTTTTTCAACCACATGGACTGGCAAAGCTAAGCAAGTAATTTTTTTTAAAAGAATCTCTTTTCTAATAAATACCACAGAGTTTACAGTTAAATATCTGTTGGATATATACAAATGCTGCCATATCATAAGGACTTGCAAAATGCTATAAACCTAATAACTAATATAGAGAAAATAGAGCTTTATTTTTTCAAGACAATGACATTTCCTTTAAAGTTAAATGTTATTTTATTACCTATGTATCAGGATTTCAAAGACAGACGTTTTATTTAAATCCTACTATGTGCACTTAAATATTTGAAGTAATGTAATGAAGGTGTGAAATAATTCCTCACTTAAAAAACAGTAATGCTGCCTGCGTGCCTGCAGGCAGCAGTAAAGCACGACATGACAGCAGTTTTGTCTTGGTAATGTAAACTAGACATTTCAGTATTGTACTGCAAACCCATTCTTCAGAAACACACAAAATTGTTAGGAGTGGGAAAGAACTGAACTAGTTCCTACTTACAAAAAAGATGAAGACGCCTTCTCTAAGTTTAAACATCTACATAGCAACCTACTCCACCATTATACCAGAGCACTGGAGGTGCTTTGCCAGGAATGAGAAATTTTAAACTTTTATGAGGATACCTCAAGGCACTGGTAGGGGGGAGCCCACGGAACCCAGAGGGAAGCGCTCACAATTGCTTTTCAAAGCGCGTACATGGCCCTAGACCAAGCGATTTCAAAGGGTTTCTGCGGAGGACGCAAAGGGGAGCAAACTTTGGAATTTAGGATTAAGCACTTGGAGATTCGTTTTGCTCCTTTGCATTTAAGGAAGGGGGCCGTCACATTTTAAGGTTCCAAGTTGGAGCGCCTCCAAAAGTACTTCAGAAGACTCGGAGAGAAACTTCAGTTTAACAGAAGAAAAACGCAAGGAGTGAGGCTGTGGGTGATAAGGAAGAAGTAAGGAGCAGAAAATGATGATAAAGGTGGTGGGCGACACCGTTGTCACTTTTCATCCAGGACGCGCCCAGTGTCCCCAGTCGTCTGCTGCTTTTGGATATGGGCATTGTCCAAAAGTGTCCCAAAGATCAACTAGGGCAGGTGTCCCCGCCCAGGGCGACCCTCCCTTTACCTCTAGCCTGCCCTTCAGGGCTCTGTCCCAAACTCCCAGGCGCGCATGAGGGGCGGACAGGTGCGCCAGGGCCGCTTACCCCGGTGATCACGGCGGCGTCCCCAGAGCGGGGGGTGAGCAGCAGCGGTGGCAGCAGCAGCAGGAGCAGGAGTGGGGCGTAGCGTGGGCTCCTCATGGTGCCCTCGGGACTGGACGGCCGCCGGAGGCGGTTAGGGGCGCGGGGACCGGGGCGCGCTGGGTGGAGCGCGGAGTGACGGACTGGCAGGCGCAGCGGCTCCCGCGAGCCTCCAGACCGTCGTTATAAAGGCGAGCGCCGCGGTGACTCACGCCGGCGCCCGCCCGGCAGCACACGCGGGGGGCACGGCGCGGCACACACCCCACGCCCCACGCGCACACGCGCGCCCGCTCTGGCCCGGCCGGCTCCCAGACGAGCACGTGCTGCGCTCGGCCCCCCCTCGCGCCCCCGCCCCGGGCGCCACGCAGGCAGGGCGCCACGCAGGCAGCGCTTCCCGCGGGGCGCCCCGCTCCGCGCAGTTCCCTCCGCCGTCGCCTCGCAGCCGCCTTTCGCACGCGCCGGAATCGCTTTTGTGGTCTCCGAGACACTCATTTGCTGTCCTGGTTTCCACAGCTCCACGTGCTCAGCGCCGAAAACTTGCACATCATTTGCTCTACAGATGTTTACCAGGCGCCTACTATGTGCCGGGCGTTGTGGACACATAGCAGGCGGCGGGTTGGGGGGGTGTGAGGGGGTGGCAGCAGCCCCTGAATCCGTTCGTTTGCTCAGCGGGTCTATACCCGGCACCCGCTGCGTGCCAGGTACTGCCACCGGCTGTGTCCTCATGGTGGAATAGCTTAACAGAGCAGACAGACATCAATCAAATGCCCTGAAAACGTGGAAGGCAGGGGGAAAGAACAAAGGGAGAGCAAAATCGCCCCAATCCCACACCCTCGACAAAGTGGAAGGATTTGTCCTTCCAGCTGCGGGAGTCCTGTTTGTTTCTTTCATGTCAGATGCCTTCCCTTTATGCCCACATCTGTTCCCGACCCTCTCCTCTGACTTTCCTCACATGTATTTCCTCCCCTCTCCAGCCCCGCGCCAGCTCCAAGCCCAGTCGTTCAGGGTGATGCCAAAGGGAAATGAGAACGCCTGCTTTCGAGTGCCAGCCTGAGGCCCCTTAAACCCTAGGTACGCAGCTCTCTCTTCTTTAACTTTCCAGCCCAGGAAGATCACCCTTTGGTCTTACACATGCAATAGGGCGTTACTGTGATTCGTTCATTCATGTAAACATGAAATGAGCTTCTAGTGGGTTCCAGGCACACCAGGAAAGGACAAGTGACAGATTTGCCCTCCATCTCTGATCCTGGGCTGGCTCCAAGAATTCTAGCCTGTTTCCATCAACAAAAGTTATATCAAGAATACCTAGATGTGACTACACCAAACTTGCTTGCCCGTTTGGGGAAACCCAACTTTCTTCCTGAATAATCAGAACCTCTGGCTTTCCTGGTCTCATAAGAACCACAAACTGTCGAAAAGCAGATGCATCTTTCAGCCTCTTTATTAAATGCAGTAAGGAGAGTTGAGACAGAGTTACTTTCAGACTGTGGGGCTCCCCATGCCAAAGCATTCAGACGAAATGTGGGGGTTGGGGGGGTGGGGCGAAGGCAAGCAATTATCTGAATGTTAAACATCTGAATATGTGGAAACCCCAATCTTTGGCTGATTTTTGAAAACCTTTTTCACACATGTTCCCATGTTTAAGAAACACCCTGAAACAGAAAACACAAAAGGAGACAAACTCTTTTTTCAACTTAAAAAAAAAATGTTAAAATTGGACTCACAGTGGAATAAGTAGAAACAGTAGCAAGTGACAGACTTGTGGAAAGTTTCCTTTTCCAGTATCCATGCCAACGCTAGCTTGGGAACGCTGCCGGCTAAATGTAAAAACCAGTCAACATGGATTTTAACATTCCTATGATTTTTTTTTTAATGGTCTATTTCATATTCGCTACTATTGAATGCCAGCTTGGGTATTCCCTGCTTCTTCAAGCATAGAAAATATGATATGTCTACATAGGAAAAATCAGATTTGAAGTGGCTGGCTTCTTACGCAGCTGTTTGGGAAACAGTCCTCATAAAGCTGTTTTGAAACAAGACTGAAAAAAAAAGAAACAAGTTTGGAAACACTTAAAAATAGGGTTGGTTTAGTTTCATGTTGTGTCTTATGGAAATTTTAATTGTTTTAATGCTTTAGAGAAGAAATGAAGGCTCTTGATATGTCATCTTCGTATCAGAGGCCAAGTTGAACATTGAAGTCTGACTTCAATTGTTACAAAGGGAAAAATGAGAAAAATGAGTTTGGATTAGTCTGTTAAAAAAGGTAGGAGGTGCAATTTAGCAATGATGAATAGAAATGGAAGAGTAGTTTGATTCTGTTCTATTACTGTGACCTGTTGATGTTGCCACATGATCAACTCGGCCCAGGCATAACTGTAGCAGGTGAAATGAGCCTGTGTGTGTAAAGTGTAGCCTACCATTTTTCAGCAGACTATCAAGGCTCAGCTTAAATGAAAACACAATCTAGGAGGGTCTATAGAACCCCATGTTTGTGAGACAGGCTGTCCTGGATTGGAATCCTGTGTGACCACTGGGCAAGTTACATAACCTTTTGAAGCCTCTGTTTCCTATTCTACAAAATGGGTATAAAATACCAACCTCATCGGCTACAACCCCTGTGGAATTTAATAATACCTGCAAAATGCTTATCACAGTGTCTAGAACAGACTGAGAGCTGTCAGGGTTCCCTCTAATTAAACCTTATTATTTGGTCTCCCCTGACAATTTCAGCCAATGCTGATATAGATCTTTTCTGTCTTGCCCACTGCATTAGATTGTATACTTTTTGTGATTAGGATCCTTGTGTCTAATTTTGTATGCATTCCTCTTGGCACATAACATGATAATAGGCATATGGCAGGCATTCCGTAAGTAGTGACCAGCAACAGGAACATATCCCAGGAAGGATAGTCCAGAGATAGTTACAAGAAGATGATATACAGTACAGACTCATGTCATTCATATGAATCCATTAAAGGTAGTCACCAAAAAGCAAGAGAGATGGAAGCTTTACCTGATGCAGGTGATTCAGCTTACCCCTCTACTTGGGGGCCATGTGACTGGAATGAGGTGAGCTTGGAGACACAGATCTGTTTCCTGGCTGACTAATAAGGCTCCATTTCAACATGTGCTTCATGATTGCCAGTGTAGTGGTCTATATTGTGTGTTCCCCTAAAAAGCTGTTTTCAAGGCCTAAGTCCTGATACCTGTGAATGTGACCTTATTTGAAAATAGGGTCTTTGCAGATGTAGTCAACTTAAGATAAGGTCATGCTTTATTAGGGTGGGTTCTGAATTCAGTGACTGGTGTCTTCATAAGGGAAAAGAGAGGGAGAATTGGATACAGAGACACAGAAGAGACTACCCCACAACACACAGGAGAACGCCAAGTGACGGTAGGGGCAGAGATTGGATTGATGCTTGTACAAGGCAAGAAACACCAAGGATTGCCAGCAGCCATCAGGATCTGAACAAGCAAGGAAGGATTCTTCCCCAGATTCTTCACAGGGAGCACGGCCTTGTTGACTCATTGATTTTGGACTTCTAGCCTCCAGAACCACGAGAGAATCAATTTCTATTGCTTTAAGCCACCCAGTTGTGGTAATTTATTATGGCAGCCACGGGAAACTAACATAGTTGGGTGCAGCCAAAGGGTTATACACCAGCTTTATCTGCCTGGAATTGATGCCTATCACTTTTGCTCACTTTTTAGTGGCCAAAATAAGCCACATGACAGTGTTTCTTCAAGGGGACAGACAGTGCAACTCTGTCACTGGTTTTGGAAGACAAGGTATCAGGTGAGCGTGCTATATTCTACAGGAAATGAATCATTCATGGCTTGGACTCCTTAATGAGCACAATGAACTTTGAATGATATTAGTAATTGCTATTATAAATAATAATGTGTAATTTCCTTTGTATTTTTTTCTAGTTCAGAATTCTTTATACCAGAATTATACAAAGACTCTGAAAGTGAGTAAATGTGTAAGCTAATACTTTCTTTTAGGTGGGTAGTAAACCACAATTTATTCATTCAACAGGTATTAACTAAGACTTACTGTATTCCAGATGTTGTATGCAGCATAGGGGGTACAAGGGAGAGCATATGAGGAAACCTGAAACTTTCCTTAAAGTACTGGAATCTGAGATTAGAGCTGAAGCTTATGCAGAATTTAACTGAGATGAAGAATGAAACAGGGCTGGGTGCAGTGGCTCATACTGGTAATCCCAACACTTTGGAAGGCCCAGAGAGGAGGATCGCTTGCACCCACGAGTTCTAGACCAGCCTGGACAAAACAGGAAGACCCCCATCTCTACAAAAAAATTTTTTAAATTAGCTGGGAGTGGTGATGGGCAACTATAATCCCAGCTACCTGAAGAATCAAGGTGAGAGGATTGCTTGAGCCCAGGAGGTCAACACTGCAGTGAGCTGTTATTGTACCACTGCACTCTAGCCTGGGTGACAGCGAGACCCTGTCTCAAAAAAATATAAAAATAAAAAATAAAACAGCAGACTTGGAGGATGGCTGGGCATTCCAGGCAGTGCAGACAAAAGGGTAGCCAGTGTGGCCCAAAGAATGAGCCTAAAGGGAATCCTGGAACAAATACGGAGCCAGAGGGATGGCAGGGACCCTTTGCAGGGTCTTCTGTAGGCCACACGAAAGATCTTGGTCTGCATGGTCGGTTGGGAAGGAGAAAAATCATAAGAATGGGGCAAGTGTAACATAAGCAGCTTTCCTAAGGAAGACCTCACTGCGGTGTGACTCAGCCGGTCCACATCCCAACACCTTCCGGCACCCTCCAAACCCCTTTGGTTGAAGGCAACTCTATCCTTCCAAAGATGGCCTTGGAATCATCTTTAACCCTTCTCTTTTTCTCACGCCTAAAGCCCATCTGTCTGGAAATCTTGTTGTCTTCTGAAGGCAAACCTACTTTGCCTTCAATATGATATTGTAGATATCATATTAGTGATAATATTTTATATTATAATAAAACATAAATACAAAATAAAATAGAATATATTCTAATAAAATATATCCAGCCACTTTGCCCTCTGTCATGCTACCCTTCTTGTTCTGAGTCCCTGACACCTCCAGCCTGGATTACTGTCACTGTCATTACCACAAGACTGGCCTCCAAGGTTCATCCTTGCCCTCTATATTCTATTATCAATGCAGCTGTCACACTCTTTTTTTTTTTTTTTAAAAGTAA